GAGCGGCAAGCGTTCCGCTCCATACAGCTTCAACGATCACGGTATTGTTGACGCTGTATGTTTTACGAACATCAAACTCCTGGTCTTTTAATCGCAACTGGTCTTTTCCGTTCCCTTCATTCAGGTCGTTGAAGCACCGGGTTACCAGTTTTGGCGTAAAGGCATTCGGATATTCTATCTGGATAATATCTTCATCGTAGTAACGTTGCAGTATTTCTCCCGCAATCTCCCCTTCCATCGCTTTTATAAGATTTAATGCCGACTCCAGATTCTGCTGCCCTGGCTGATTCATAATGGTAGAAGCATTTTAGAAATAATGGTAAATATCTTCTGATTGCACTAAATAAAATACAGAAAAACCACGAAAAAAAACCGGAAAAACCACTGTGTAATCCTGCGGCCAGGTCTTCCATATTAAACCAGCTGTTTTAAATTCAGCGAATGATTTAGCTTATCCGGTCAGTTTAGTAATTTGATCTTTCACGATTCAAAGCGAATTCATAAAATACCCTGTATTACTGTTATTACTTACCCTATTACTTAGGCGTAGCTAAATCATCTTTATATACCTTCCCTTCAACTACGCTAAGGGAACTGAGATTTATCGAAACGACGGCTTTAATGAACAATGGCACCCTTTTTCAAAGGATGCCATTGCTTATTAAACGAAATAATATTTCAGACTAGGAGCTGCAGGTGACACAACCTTCTTCCATAGTACATACGGGGCCGGTCACTTCATTCATTTCCATATCATCCAGGTTATTGCCATTGGCTTTCAGTTGTTCTGCTGTTGGCATCACTGGTTCCATTTCCTTACTACCTTGCTTTTCTACGGTAAACTGAACGGCTTGTGTGGCAGCCTGTGTACGCAGGTAATACATACCGGTCTTCAGGCCTTTCTTCCAACCATAGAAGTGCATAGAAGTCAGCTTGGCTGCGGTCGGGCTATCCACAAACAGGTTTAGCGATTGCGACTGGCAGATGAAGGCACCACGATCGGCAGCCATATCGATCAGGCTACGTTGCTTGATTTCCCAAACGGTTTTATACAATGCCTTGATCTCTTCAGGGATACCATCGATATGCTGTACGGAACCATTGGCTGCAATGATCGCATTCTTCATGGTATTGTTCCAAAGCCCCAGTTGTACCAGGTCTTTCAGCAGGTGCTTGTTTACAATAATAAACTCACCACTCAGTACGCGACGGGTATAAATATTAGAGGTATAAGGTTCAAAACACTCGTTATTACCCAGGATCTGTGAAGTTGATGCGGTAGGCATTGGTGCTACCAGCAAAGAGTTACGCACGCCATGTTCCATCACTTCTTTACGTAGTCCGTCCCAATCATGAC